TAGGAGCCACCTCTAGAATCCCAATTGGTACCAGGATTCAACTTAAGTCTCCCATATGATGGAGGTCTTGTGTTCGAATCTTGGGGGACGCGTCAGAAAGCCGTGAGGGGTAAGATGGGTCTAGACTCTCCCAAAGCGGACAGTACGTATGATATGATAACGGCTCCGGTGAGAGGCTTGGTCGTTACAAGTAGGGTGCAGGGAATATGCAAACCCAGTTGCAATTGAAGAATTTGGGCTTCTTCGTTTGGTGATACATGAACTATTCAAGTGAAGTCATACTCTCCCGAGTACAACTGCACTAGAGACCAGTATAATAGGCATTGTAACTACGAATTCCTGACCCGTCATTACATTGTGAGGTTCAAAGCGGATATGGAGTGGAAAACAAAGAGCATATTGGCGGCAGTGAAGGAGGATTTCAAAATTGAAATAACTCGGAACGTTGCATGGAGAATGAGAAGGTATGCGAATGAACTACTGTATGGGACAATAGAATTACAATTTCAACAGTTGTGGTCGTACGATGTCGAGGTGCTACGTGCAAATCCAGTATCCACCGTGGTAGTCAACACATTCAACCAAAAGTTTCAGGGTATTTGATGGTTGCCACTTACGGGGATGTTTTGGTGGAATATTGTTGACGACTATTGGCCAAGATGCAAATGACTGCATTTATCCCGATGCATACGTTGTGGTTGAGAAAGAAAACACACCCACTTAGAGGTGGTTCATGAGGTTGCTAGCTGAAGATGTAAACATTGGTACATGAGTGGTTGGACGCTGATAATAGATCGCCAGAAAGGGCTCCAAAATGTTGTTGCACAGATCGCCAGAAGGGGCTCCAAAACGTTGTTGACGAATTATTCCCGAAGGTAGAGCATAGATTTTGCGTCCGACATATGTACTCCAATTTCTTCTCTGCAGGTCACAAAGGAAAAACACTTAAAGACTTTATGTGGCATCCTGCCAAGTCCACCACTATTGCGGACTAGAACTATTGGATGCAACAAATCCAATAAATGAGTCAAGATTCTTTCCTTTGATTGATGGAAAGACCCGCACAGGAATGGAGCAAGTCTCATTTCGAAACTCACTCAAAGTGCGATATCCTGTTAAATAACGGATGCGAAGTGTTCAACAAGAGGCTTTTATTAGATCGAGAGAAAATGATCATCGATATGCTTCTCTCCATTCAGCTGAGCTTCATGCAAAGAATACAAAAGAGGAAGGAAAAGATGCGTACGTACGTGGGTCGGCTTTGTCCGAGGATTAGAAAGAGGGTTCACACTTTTGTTGAAAAATCGAGGGAGTGCATCGTGCACCTGTCTGGTGGTGCCAAATGGCAAGTGGAATGTAGTCATGGAACATTTGTGGTTGACCTGGAGGAGAGAACACGTGCCTGTAGAAAGTGGGAATTGAGTGGCATTCCATGCCTCCATGCGATGGCTATTATAAACGAGTGTAGGAATGAGCCAGAGGATTATTTCGACAATTGCTATACGACTGAAGTGTACTCCAAGTGCTACGATAATATTCTTAATCCCATCAATGGGCCAAGGCTGTGGTCGGAAGTGAATGCAGAAGTAATTACTACCTCCCGACGTCTTGCAGATATCACAATTGCTACCTCTCATCAAACCTGAATAGAGTCTCCGAAAATGATCATCCTCAGCTGCTATTTTTGTTGAAGAATCCGGTGTTCTGTAGTTGGCTAGGAGTCCTATGGTGTGGATATTAAGTGGGATTTTTGTTTAACGATGTCGATTTTTGTTGAAGGATTACTTGTGTATTGTGTCCCTTTTGTTGGCTAGTAATTATATGTTTTGAAACAATGCACCAACTGATCAGTCCAATTCAATAAGATTCAAAACAGTTCGTCACTTGTTTGATTTACATGAATACAGGGGAAACATTGAGCTAAATATTCATTTACAACAAATGCAGACAAATTTAACTACATTTGCAGACACATACTACCACTTTTGTAGAGACACACAGACCCAACTGCACTATATTCGTTACAAACTAACGTTACAACAACCAAATGTAGTACATAGGATGCAATACTTCAACGGACTAGCCAGATTATAAAGAAGACGAAAATGCCAGATAATGCAATTTTATACATTTTCATCAATTTGCAACATTTCTGGTTTTCTTCTTCAAACCTATTCTTCTACCGAATCAACCCATTTATGACTACCTTATACCTATCATTGGGTGCCTGGTCAACCCAATCGAAGAAATTGCAGGCATATCGCGTACAATATGATCGACAGCCTAGAAACCTTCGCTCGGGGTTGTTTTCCGTCCAAGATGTTCTCACACGCACTAGCTGCCCACAATAGCAGTACCTTCTCGACCTACTATCCCTGGAAAAGCGAGACATTGCAACCACAAAGCGGTAACAAAGAGGTGGCTGTAAACGAGAAAATTCGACTGCTTCAATTGCGCCTGCAATAAGGGCTTCGTGCTTCGAAGAGGCAGATTCGATGGTCTCCTTGCGCATTTGGAGAGGATTCAACAGGTGGGGCAGAGGTGGGGTATGACTGGATTTGAGAGATTTGGGGACTAGGGGTTACATTTTTCCCAAATCGATTGGAATTTGAGAGGAGGGGAGTCGATTTAGGAAGTGAATTGAAACCGACTGTGGGTGGTTTTTGAATTGCCTTTTTTTTCCTTAAAAAAATTGTTTAAGAATCCAAGATGGCGTGTTTTAATTGGTCCAGCATGTGTGAGTTAGAATTTTAACGACCGTCGGACTGCCAGCTAAGAAATCGTCTGCCATGTCAGCGACCCACAAACAAAATTTTTGACGGTGATGGATGGAGAGGTAAAAGGTAAAGTTGAGTGAGTACTTCGAAGCACAATGAAGTTTAGTGAGCAGTTCGTTACCAAGGTATAAGTTCAGTGATTTTTGAAACAGTTCACTCTGCATTTTGGTTTAGGCTGCAAATGACCGAATGCGATGGAAATTAGAAGAAAAGAGCGAAAATGACCAAAATTGAGGAAAGTGATAGTTCATGGATTTAAGTGCAAATATTCTAAACTTATTTCTAACC